GTTGACTAATTCAGGCTGTACCCAGGGCAAAGCTTTTGCTTCCCACTTCCTTTTGGTTACTGTTCATATATTATACATTTGTTATTAACTTGATAATATATTTAACACTTCAGCAAAATTTAACATCGCTGGCAGAATAACATTACTGACTTCAGATACACCATTCCTTTACAAGCCCTCATTTCTCTGGCAAAGACAACATTAATTGTTTCTTGTGCCCTACTACCCTATAGCCGACAGATACAGCTTAACCCATTTAGCCCCATAATGGCCAAAGCCACCCATACGTTGTGCTGTTTACAATTCACTGTTTAGAAAGCATATAGCTCACCATTGAAATGAAAGTCTCGTAATATGCACAACCAAGAAAGAGAACTTTATTCCCATACCCATTTACAGTAAAAGTGGAGTTGACAGGGAGACCGTTTATGAGTGTCCTGGGATAATGTTCTTGCTCAGCAGCTCCAACACTTAACTTGCTCACCTGTTTCATCAGTTCGGCAAGACCCCGTGGATCATCAATTACCCGTATTCCCATCATAAGCTTCTCAAGGTCGTGACAAGGAAGCTTCAGTAAAGTCTGCACAGAAAAATGTTCTGAGCCACGCAGGTCAAGACTTTTTAGTTGCCTTGACGACATGAGCATCCTGTTAATAAAATAAAACAATTTCTTAAAAATGTCTTCCATTTTTTTGTAGTGAGATAAAAAGTATTTCCTTTTGTACCAAGCTAAATTATTAAAGCATCTAACACTGCTTTATTTAATCTTTCTTGTTAAAAGCTTGTTCATTCTAAGATAACATTAATCCAAGACAACATATTAAACGCACATTATTATTTTCTCAAAATGAAAGTAATGTAGGCCTAAACATTGCCTAATAATTCACTGTCTTCACCTTTCTATAAAATTATCATTTACAGGCAAGGGATGTCTGTTATCACAAGGGCTGCCCACAGCAATAGATAAATCTTCCAATGACTGAAATCCTGGAGAAAGATACTGGTAAAAAGGAAGGGGAAAAAAAGAATGCTATTAGGTAAAACCCACTAAAAAAAACAATAGCATATGGTGGGCAATCGTTGTAAAACAATGTTGAAGCAACAAAACAACAATAGTCTCAGTATGCAGAGGTTTTCACTACAAAGGGAAACCCCCATTTTCATGAAGAGCAATCAACCCTTACATAGAACATTGGTGGCATAACAAATGTTGACAAGGCACATTATTGGCACACCAGATGATGATACTGAACATTGAGGAACAATACATGTTTACAGGGAAATTGCAATCATTTTCCTATAACTTTTGACGTAACTATATAGACAAAGAGTTGAACTTCTTTTCAATAATTATTTCCCATACAAACATTTTCTAGGTCTTTTTTGTCTACTGAAGAAGGCTTCAAACCAATAAGTTAACTTATATTCTTCTAGTAGAGATTAACCATAAGTTGTATTTAGGTATAGACATCTTGGATAAGTATAGTTTATAAAACATAGTGTTAACAATTTTTTCAAATGTTGATATCGGAGAAAATGAAATTCCAAGGTTTGAAAAGTCTATGTTACTAATTGGATTAAATAACTTAGCCACTTACAGAGGGCTTTTCCTCAATGTTAATATTGCTAGACAAGATGTAGCCCATGTTGAGTGTTTTGAGAGCCGGTAGGCTTCTCTGGAGTCTCTCTATATCCAATGTCAAAACATCGGCTCTGCAGTAGTTGATGGCCAGCATCTCTAGGTTAGAGCAGTTTTCCTGCAGAAGACAGACAAAGCAAATGTAATTGAAAATTGATAGTGATTTTACACTACCAGAAACCAGGGAGAAAACTTTTAGAGATCTCTTAACATATCAAATATAAAATAAATAAATTATTTCATTTCAAATCTTTCATTTCATGTTTATTTTTTTATTTCCAAGTTTGCTTTACTTAGCCTCCCTAAACAGACTTAGACCCAATATTGACAGATGTTAAGAGAAAAATATTAGACCCAATACTGACAGCTGTAAAGTGTACAATCTTAGACCCAATGCTGATGGCTGTAAAGTGTACAATCCTAGACCCAATATTGATGGCTGTAAATTGTACAGTCTTAGAACGAATAGTAACAGATGTAAAGTATACAATCTTAGACCCCATACTGATAGCTGTAAAGTATACAATCTTAAACTCAATATTGAAAGATGTAGGCCTAAAGTGTACAATCTTATTCTGAATATACTGGCAAATGTATAGTGTACTGACAAGTAATGTGAGTTATACCAGTTTTGTCAATAATTTTAACTTAAGCTAAAACCTTTTGATGACAATTCAAGCTGATTTTTAAAAAAAAACAGAAGGTATTTCCCCGCATTTTCTTACACATATGGCATCAATGACTCTATAGAAGCCATGCATCAGGTTTCCACTAAGATTCAAACTCAGCAGTTGAGAATTGAAGTGTTCGATTATAGTTGTCATAGGGGAGACACTCACTAGGTCGTTCTGTGGATTAATATACAAGGGGAGGTAATCATTGAGGCTGACAATGGAAAGATGACAAACACAAGACTAAGACTACTCAAAGATACTCAGCGTGCTATCTGCTCATAGTTAATTCTTGTTTTATCTGCTCACAGATAATTCTTGGGTTATCTGCTCATAAATGGTCCTTGAATTATCTGCTCATATATACTCCCTGAGTTATCCACTCATAGATACTCCCTGGGTTATCTGCTCATAGATACTTTATGGGTTAATGGTTCATAATATTGGTACTTTCACCAAAATGTAAGTATTGAAATTAATATTTAATTTGGAATTCAAATGTAGACCTTTCATTATTTTCTTATAATCTTAGGGAAATTGTACAAGTTCAGACACTTCTAATTGTGGAAGAACATTACATAAATCCCATATACCAGCCTGTAATTTAGAAGAGGCAGGGATGACAAATCCTCTAGTGAGGCAACCAACACAAAATTAGTTTCAGACAGTCTCTTTATTCCATTTCTAGACTTCACTGACTCGACCAGAATCCAAAGTTTAATAACCTAAGCCCTTAAGTTTTCCCTCTCCACTTATCCTAAACTCTTTTATCCATCATTAAACCCTTCCTTTGTTGTAGCACTCTCGCTGGTATCAGATTGTGATGTTAATCTCTGTTCCAATCATTGGCTAATTCCATCGTCTCTTCCCAGTTGACATCGGAATGGACCACTAACAATGAACACATAAATTACTTGTGACCTCCTAAAACAATTTAACTACCATGGAACCTGATTCCATGCACTTTTAAAACTTGCCCACCCTATCACATGTTGCTTATATAGGGCGTGTGTATGCATCAATTTGACCAACAGACAACACAAAACCCCCATTGTCCAACATCTTGACTTCTGTGCTGACCATGACAATACGATGTTAAATCAACAGTTTGTTTCCATACAATACTTACGCAAGTGTGAGAAAAGTCCAGCGTTGTTATAAAGGGACAGTTGCTTGTGAGAAATGTTGCCACATCTTTGCTCAGCTTCGTACAGTAAGACAAGTTTATAGTATGAAGTTTCCCACAATGTTCAGTAAGCTCCTATGCAAGTAAAAGGAAAATTAATTTTCTTGGTCAGTGTAAACCTTCAATGCAATTTAAAAATGTAAGTACACATCTTAACTATGGATCTTTGTAATCCTTTTTGTATACCCACCAAAATAAAATACTAAAAATTGTAACAATAAAGCATTTTCAGTCTGAAAAAAAAATGATCCCACTTAGTATACACATCTTTTTCTTTTTAGACACTTAACATCATTTGAAATAAGAACCATTATTCAAAGAGGTACCTTTATTCCCCAGGCAGTGATATCCCATCCAGTTAAATCAATTTCCTTGCAGGGACCCAGGCGGTTACGTGAAAGCCATATCAAGAACTCATCAGTCCTCCTCATCCAGTAATAGCCACCATATGGGACTCGTACATTTGTCCAGAGACTTGGGTTGAGGCATAAATTGTACCAAAGTTTGCATACTAGTGGTGCTCTGTGGGAAGGTAATCAACAAATTAAAAATGTCCTAACATTGGATACATGTAAATGCATGCAAGTAAAGCATAAGGGCTGAGAAAATAAATCATAGTTCTTATATAAAACGTGAGCGCATAAACAGTGGTACCTGATCATAAAGGGGTACTGACGCTCAGAGGTGATGTAGCTGAAAATCTTGATCCAGATTTCAGGGGGCAGTTTTGGTAAGGTCAGTCGCTTGGGTCGTGTGGTGACATTTAATTCCTTTTGAATGGCAAAGAGACATTCCCCTGTATCCTGTATGACCAGTTTACATTTCCTGTGCAAATGTCTACGGCTGTAGCTGGCAGTGTGTTTTGTACTGAGAGATGAGCATGTAGCACCCAGCTTTTTCTTTTTAAAACATGATGGTCTATGTGCCTCTGTTCCTTCTCCACAGGAATCATCTCCACTCATCTTTCAAAAACCTGGAGGAAATTATCAACTCATCATTATATAAAAACAACTTTATGTCAGGGTGAACATACAATATATTTTAAATTTTTTTTTCACTAAGAATAGGTGAATATTCTTTCAGAAAATTAGATAGCAAGAAAAAAGAGAGAATGCCTATGGATGTTGCACATTGTGTATATCTAATGAGTCAACATGGATTGACTTATATGCAGGGTAAACTGACATAATAGCCTTTACCAGCTCAGATTAATCTATATAAAAGATTAGATTTGTAAAACGGTTCAACATTATCCAGCCCAACTACTAAGTTTTACCTGTAAGGTCACCTGTCTTGAACACTTTTTGTCCCCACAACAGACATCAGCCTTTGCTATAAGACAGCACCAAAAAAAAAAAAAAAATTTTGATTAATCTCTCTTCGAGGTGCATGCATTCTAATAACTACCATCTTTCCATCCTAAATGGTTATACCTTATTATTAATAAATAAAAGTAGTTGTTTATCGCCCATTTTCTTTGTCAAAATATGTTATTTTTAGAGCTATTTTTTGTGAATAAAGCTTCAATTCACAGATTCAAGATAATCAGTCATGTTATAAATGAACTAAACTTTCAAAGATGATTCATTTAGATAAAATTGGATAATTTTTTTGAATACACCTTAAAAAATTATGTGCAACTGGGATTTTTTAATTGAATGTTAACCTTTTGCAGATTACATAAATAACATGAATTAAACATGTATTATAAATAATGTTAAAATTTTTTAATAAGTGATTTTGATCAAATCAGGATACATGAGATGTGGAGCACTCCAGAATAAAAAAGCAACAAAAAACATCATACACAAAATGGAAGTGCTTTCTCGGTAATCATCATAATCCTAATGGCAAGACATATGTTTCAAAAACTTACCAGCGTCTCAAATTTCCAGGTTTTTACTAAGACTTGTCCTATTCTTTATTTACGTCCTCTGAAAATATAATGTCATTAATTTCTTTCATTGCCATTTTTTTTTTAGATAAACAATTTTGATTTAAGTGCAATGAGGATATTATAAGGCTTGGGTTGAAGATGACAGATGTACTATGTTGCCAATGTGGATAAAACATTTCAGGCCAAACTAAGTAGGTCTACCTCTAAACTCAAAGCCTTTAAAATTTAAAATGTGATTCAAGACATACCCTGTATGCCTACATTATAGTTTATGAACACATTTTTTCCAAGTTACGAATACATTTTTTTTTTTTTTGAAGATTTAAAAATTTCATTTAAAAAAAAATATAAATTGCTATTGCATGTATTGATTGAGTTTGCAGTATTGGTTTGTTGGGTTGTAATGGAGTTGCTTGAGTTGTCATGGTCAGTTTTTGAGTTGTCAGATTGAGTAATACTGTCAATTGTGTGATTAGCAAAATACCCGCCCTAATGTCTAAGTCTATGTCTATGTTTTTATTTGACATGCTGAAAGGAATAAGTACTATGTAACAGTATGTAGGCTAAAATACAACAAATTTTCATTTATTCTGATCAATAAAACTTTCTTTTAATTTTAACTAATTTAAGTTGTAAAGAAAAGCTGCCCAACAGTTTACACTCAGTAGTACTAGTGACACTAGGCCTAAAGTAGTCTAGCTACTGACTGCCTACTAAAGTACACAGACTACAGTACAACAGTGTCTATAGTTCTAGTACTTCAATATTTTTTTATATAAGTTGACTATGTTACTATGTTACTATGTAAAATTATTATATTATATATTAATAATTATAGTATATTACAAGTTGAGTCTCCTGACTCCTAGAAATAGAAATGGCTAGATTAAATCAAGTACACTGATTATTAGAATTCCTTAAACGATAATAAATTATGCGTACTTGCATATATACATGATTCTTTCGTAAAGTTAATTGGGAAAAATATATTGATCAGTAGCATAATCGCAGCAATCGGCATCTTTCACTATAAATTTTCTATCGGCTATAAATAAATAAATAAAGTAGTATCTGTCGTAAACAATATTTTGTTGCGGAAAAAAATGGATTGTTTCCTATTAAACATTCCCACGGCAACATTTGTGTTAAATACTATGTACCACTTTATTTTCTATAATTTAATAATTAACTTACATTTTATTTATGAACAATTCATTTTTTTTTTCAAGCAAAGAATGCAATAATTTTGTATCTTATTCTAATAATTATTAACTGGAGGTTCATAGCTTTTACGACTTCTAAATACAACTTTTTAATCATCCTCGCCGTAAACTCCTTAAAATCGTTTTAAATCAGTTTTTCCAAATTTTAAAGAGACTGAATACTTAATTTGCGAATTTGATTGAAAATTCATGTATCTAAACAATGGTTTAGAAAATTTATTTTTTTTTAAATAATTATTTATCATGGAGAAAATAGACTTGCATGTTTAGTTTAGACTTCAGAATCGAAACATGGGAAGTGCGAAGAAAGTCCTAAACAAGTAAGACAATAGACTGACTAATAGACCTGAATAAACTTGAGCCATTCAGTGTTTTTTTGTTGTTGTTTTTTTGACGATTTAGCTGGGTTCCTTACGTGTGAAACATATACGGTGTATCAATGTCATGCAAGAAAGCTGAACCACTTTCACATGGCGTTGGGCGAGACATGTGAGAATGTTAGAATAACGTTTTCCAAAGAGAATATTTTATGGCTGCCTAAGCATGGCATGCGGTATGCCGGTGTACAAAAAAAAAAACGTTTATAAGACAAAATGAAAGCCTAACTGAAATCTTTCTGCATTAACTCGGACATGTGGGAACAATCAGTTATCGTATCAGTAAAGGATTGAAGCTTGTGGCTCTCCTCCATGCACAAAGGCTCCATGCAAAACGAGGTCTTTAGAATAGCTGCTCGGGAGCACAAAGGACGATCCAGTAAAAGTCTGGGTCAATACTACACTTGGAGATATCACATATATCCCTGCAGGCCCGCACCTGGACAATCATGACACTTGTCAGGGGTCAAAGCTAGATAGGGGCCCCCCTTTTTCGAGTTTTTAAACTATGCACACATGTTTGAAACACAAAAGGTGCCCAAACTCTGTTAGCTGCCTGGGGCTCAGAATTTCCTAGGTGCAGGCCTGTTCCCAGCTGCTGCAAATACAATTTATGTAACATAAAAAACAAATACCTGCCTCTACATGCCATGGATTACTCTAAATCTAACAATCTCAAAGAAAAAAATATAGGCCTTCCAATTAAATATGCAGGCTCTGTTGATTATGTTAATTATTTATGTATATCATATTAAATATTGAAGAATAAATATTATTTTCTTAAAATTTAAAACAATGTCAGGTGATAAGAAATTATCAATTTTTATAAAGACATTTAAATTATTCTTACCAAGCTGTAGGAATTAAACTAAGAATAAATCAAAGGAAATAAAGTGCACACAAACTAGGACTGCGTAGGAATGAGCTCGGCAAAGACAGAAACGCAACCAAAAATTATAAGGAATGAAACAGATGCCAGAGTTAATAGAGTGTAGATATATCCTTGCTTCCTCAAATTATTTTTAAATTGCCTTTTAAAAAAAAAAAAAAAAAAAAAAAAAAAAAAAAAAACTGTGAACAATCAAATTAATAAAACTTAACTATAACTCTAGATGTGCAAGGATTTTAAAGTTTTCCGCTGTATGAGTTTCAAGATGACACGAACATTAATTAAAACCTTTGATAGGATCAGATGAAAAAAATTTCATTTTCTACTACCGGTATTTCAATATATTTTTAGACTTAAGAGCAAGGGTCTTAAAACCTTTTAAACAAGGGGCTGAATCAGTGTCCTGTGACAATGTCGGGGGCCGGCTTAGTGCCTCTCAGACTAAAGTTTGAAAAAAATATGAAAGAATTCTATGCACACCGCATATATATCATTTGAAGTGAAAAAACAACTTGAAAAAACAATAACTTTTAAAATGATTGAAAAATATATCCAGTGTAAAGTTAATAGTATTTCAATGAAAAGTACAGGCCTGCTTTGTCTAATGAGATTATCAATATTCAGGTACATATTTATCCCTGCTGGTCAGGTACTTTTTTTGGTGTTAAGGCATTCTGAATAAATGACCCATCGCGGGTCGGAACAGGTCCACAGGGCGTAGTTTGAGAGCCCCTGCCCCAGGGTCTAGGATTTGCATCTCCTAGGGCCCCTTGTCCAGGGAGTCAATCGGTCATGGCGAGGGCGCCGGATCATTATCTTCAGGCTGGCGAACACTTCATTTGCGCTCAAAGCCTACTACTACTAGTCTCTCGCGCAGCGTAGAGGAGCGATCCTCTGCGGGTGGGGGGGGGGGCTACTACTACTAGTCTCTCGCGCAGCGTAGAGGAGCGATCCTCTGCGGGTGGGGGGGGGGGGGGCTTTGCAATAAAGGATCCTATTTGTTTTTTAAATTTTTAAAAATTATTTGATATGACGTAATATACAGTAGTGATGGGTATCTCAGACATGGCATATAATTTTGGTACCTGGAATAACTATTTATAGAATTAAGGGGAGAAAAGAATGATGTAATGCCGAAAATGTTTTCTCGGAAGATCACAAATCTGCAGAGGCGTAGCGTGGTGGGGGCAGGACAGATGTCCCCGGGCGCCAGCTAGTTAGGGGTGCCAAAATGTGCTTTGATTATTATTTTATTGATGAAAATAATGGGGTTGAGAGTTGAAAAAAAAGAAAAAGGGGCGCTAAAAATGGATCTTGTCCCCGGGCGCCAAGCACCCTCGCTACGCCACTGCAAATCTGATTGTCAGCGAATGTCATATTTTGATGACCGAAAATTAAAATCAAAGGAATTTTATAAGCACGATGTTTTCATTGCACAACTGCGAACTTCATTTAAAAAATGTTGAGCTTTTATTTTCACCCCCCCCCCCCCTTATTTTTTTAATAATTGGAATAGTTTTAATTTCTATAAGGTCGTAATATATATTGGGTGGGTGTGTGTGTGTGTTTTGAAATTTTTCATTGTTTAATGATTCATCAAAAGTGATTTTAACTGGTAAATATGTTTATACCAATTTTCAGTCTGATATTGCTGTGTTTTTGGTTGGACCTTCGCTATCTGTTAAAGATGCACAGTGACAGTCTTATGTGTAAAAAAACAAAGGATGACATTAAATGATGGGGAGGAAGTAGGGTTCTGAAAGATGTTGATAATGAAATTAACGAAGCCAGTACTTTTCTCTAAATGCACTGAATTGGACGCCAAATGTAGGCCTACCTAGTATCTCTAATTACTAACTGGCCCAACTGACTGAAGTGCTTCGATCTTTTGGGAGATCAGATAGTGAAGCGGTAGAACGTTTTTGTCCTATTTGGCACCGTAACACACTACATTGTGTTGTGAGAACTTTGGTCCCCACTGTTTTGACCTTGCATTTTAATACAATGCAGTGACTATGTAAGGTTTCTACGATGGTCTTCGACAACAAGCTCCGACTGCCCGGATGATCAGCTGATACACTACCTACATTGCGCATCACACTTGCTTGGTATGATTATTCTATGCTCTATTGATGGCTTTATTTTAAGGTAGAATTTTGATCTTTGTAGCTTGGCCAAGCACTATTACTATTACTATTATACAAATTTTGCAGGAAAAAAAATTTTGTCATCAAAAATGTAAAAAAAGGAAACAGATAGCTTAAGGCCAAAAACAAGTAACTTATACTTTTGCAATAATTTGTCAATCCAGCAAAATGGGCTAACACTCATGTTTCTATATTATATGATTGTTATGAGGTGAATTTCTGTATACGGTATCTGCTAACACTCATGTTTCTATATTATATGATTGTTATGAGGTGAATTTCTGTATACGGTATCTCATAACATGAAAGGTGCACCACTCTTTTAGTGAACACCCGTTATTTGATATTTAACTACCATCACGTGGGCATGTTTAATATTATTGTCATCACAGTGACATGTTGAGAGGTTTTTTTTCTTTCTGCCATCAATGTAAGTTACTAAGTTAACTAGTGAGATGGCAGCCACTGCCAAAGCTTGTGTCACGTTCCCATTACTTAAGGTTTCTGAGAACTTTCGCCTTAGAATGCATGGCCAACAATTCCACTCCATAAAGCTATTTTATAGATGGGAGCAACCTAGGAGGTGATACAAACCTCTTGGTCCAAGGGACGTTGTAATGGTTGCTTCCTGTCAATGTTTGATATAATTGTATCAGACTGTTAAATGTCCCATGAAGGTTTGATATAACTTACTGTTACATGTCCCCTGAATGATGGATATAATGGTATTAGGTTTCAACTTATCCTGTGAATTTTTTATATATAATTGCATTAGCTTGTTACTTATCATGCTTTTACATGTTCTGTGAAAGATATATTTGTATAACCGTTTCCACGCTCAGTTAATGCTGTATAAAACTGTAACTCATATTTCTCAAACATCGATCCTCAAACACTTATTCATATTCACAGAAAAAAATCTAAGAAATCATTAACCTGAGGACACCAAAATTTTAATAGGAATTACAACAAATGTATATCAAATATTAAGGTGTATATTTGAACTGTGCTACCTTACAAAACACAGTAAATCTAGTTGGCTGCTGAGAGTGGCAGATAACTGAAAGATTTAGATGACTTTACATGTCAATATTATGAGAGCTTCCGTTCTCATAGATCAGTTACACACTTGACAGCCCAGAAACTTAAAATGAATTCTTCAATATTCAAATACGGTTCGATCATTTTCAGGCCATTATTTCGTTTTGTTATTTCTATTTACTGTAATAACATTTGAACTATATTCTAAAACAAATCTAACTGGTTTGTCCAGATTAAGTCATAGACAGCATCAGACTTAGTGCCCTAATGAATACAGCATCAGTTTTACTGAGGAAGTGACATGATTTTCTTCAGTACGCACCAAAAAAATATATAAATTCTATCTAACCCGGATAACCCTAATGCAGTGTTTCCCAAACTGTTACGTTTGGTGGACTGGTTGATAAGATGCCCTTTGCAGCAGGGACTGGTGCCAGATTTAATAATTAGAACTGATTTCACCCTATCTTCTTTTATCTCACATCAGCCACTTCAAGAGGACTTCATCAAATATTACCATGTTAAGTTCTTTTTGTTATGGCTGTTAATTTTATTTAACTTTTATCCAGTTACGGTACTTCTCTCATGTTGCGTGGAAACGGCAAGATAAGGCTTGTGGACCGGCACTGGTCAGCGGACCGAAACTTTGGGAAACACTGGTTTCTGGGACAGTTATTAAAAAATTGACAACTTTCACAGACTAAAGAAGAGAGATCAAGCGATGTATCATATCATTTGAAGAGAGATCAAGCGATGTAATATATCATTTGAGTACCGGTTTAAATAGTAAGTGGCTCTCAGTCTCAGGTGTTTTAGGGGAGTTAAGATGTTACCAGTATAAACAAAAATGTTGCATTGGTTTGAGGAACTTTATCTCAAGGTTCTTCAATTTGGAAACTATCAAAACTATTTGGAAGAAATTAATTTCCTCACCAAATCTAAACAAATAATAGGATTAGGTATAAGGAATTTGTTTATTTTTTTAAATACACTGAAATATTACAGAAAATGATCAGATTTTTTAAAAAGTATACAGTTTACAGCTTTAAAACATGTTATTAAAATTGTTACGCTTAAATAGAAAAAAAAAGTGGGAAACCAATTTTGAAAAGTGAATGATCTAAATAAAATGTTATAAATTGGAAGTTTTTTCTGTATAGCATACCATATTTACATTGTCATCTTATTTCACTTGGGTCAGTATTACTTTCGCAAAGCATTACCAATCATTGGAACATAATGGCCTGTTTAGGAAAGTCTGCAGACTATCTCAAAAATAGTTTAACCTATAAAGATAGATGAATAAAATGAACATGAATTTGAAACTTTCAACTGAAAGTTTCCAAACCAAAGTAAAGAATTCCTATTTAAAAATTTTGTCCAGCTTTGATTAACATGCTGAAGAAAATAACATCCAGGCCAATGATCCAATGATATGCTATTTCCAGGTTTTGTTTTAAAAATTTGTGGTCATAATCAAGGTAAAGGTCATGTTGCTTGGGCGGAAGCAGCTGCAGCATTTGCGATGTTCTCTCCTAAGGCTTCCAGCAGCTCACGTCTGTAGTCATCAAAGTCCCCGTCAATCTCATTGATTGTCTTATTCTCCACAACCCACAACTGACAGTCTGTGTCTCGGATCAACCTCTCGTCGTGGCTGACTATGATGACACCTGGGGATGAGAGGCCATTAACAAATGCTTGATTAAATGCCTTTCAAGCACAATGGAGTTGAAATCTTCTAACAATTTCAATATTTTTAAAATATGACTAGATGAGAAAGTTTTTGAAATGAGACATTAAGATTTAGCATAAAGAAATTTAAAAAATCATAAAACAAAGTTCTTACCACCAGTGAAATCTCTAATAGCATCAGCCAATGCATCAATAGATTCAATGTCAAGGTTGTTTGTCGGCTCATCCTGAATTTTGGAATAAAAAATTGATTCTGTTATAAAACATCGCTGAAGTTACTGTATAATAACTTGCTATCCCTGTTCAAAACATCTAAAAATGGCTGTTTTAGAGTCTCAAAAAAAAATGTACTCGCAGTAGATACTGAAAATCTTTTGCTGCAATTCATCTTTAAGTTAAAGTTTGATACACAAAGAAGAGAGCTGTTTACCAATATGAGAACATCTGGTGCACGGCATGACAGTTCTGCAAATGCAACTCTTGCCCTCTGACCTCCTGACAGGTCACGATTTGTTATTGTGTGAGCATGGGAAGCAAGGCCAAACTTGCCTAATATTTTCCTGGCATCTTGATATTGAAGGTTGAATAAACGCTGAAAAAAATAGACAGCAAAGTTGGATCTGTAATGGTTCTTGTCAATAATTTTATACTTCCCCAATGACCATAACAGTATGATTTAAAATCTTACTTAAAGTTAATGTACACTTATGAGTAACACCAGGTTTTTATTATCGTTGTTTAATATAAATTGTTAACCTGTCAATTTCTTCCTGTTTTTATATTTTCATACTGCAACACTTATTGATTATTGAGTCAAATATTAAAAATTAACTAAAATAGGTTTTTTTTCATACACTTGACCATTATTTAAAAAGGTTAAAACAAGGTTATTGTTGATCAATCACCTGGACAGATCAATAAATTGGTCCCATAAAGTATTAACAACAAATTCAAATGTGAACTGCATAATGAACATTTTAAAGGGAGAAATAGTTAAGAACTCAAGGGCATGGCAATTTACATTATCCCCAGAGTGAAAAGTATGAAATGAGCAAAATAAAATAAAGCTTTACAATTTGATAATTCTATGCTAGCCAGAGAAAGTAGTTTGGTTTAATAACATCTCAACATTTGTGACAATATAAGTAAATTCTTATAAAAATGTCAATGTAATAACATACCATTAAATACTCAGTTGGGGATTCATCCAAATTTAACTGGTCTGCAGAATGTTGATCATATTTTCCAATACGCTGTTATTAAATTGTTTTTTTATAATGAAAAAGCGACAAAAAGTTAGTATTAAATAAACATTTTTTTCAGTCAATAATTTTCACAATTAGATTAGAAAGTTTCTTGCAACTAAGATAACACTATTTTCAAAAGGCCATTTCAACATAATTTTTCAGCATAACTTAAATGCCAGTGCGAATAGTCTTCCTTCCCCTGCACATGAATGTTTTTAAAAACTTACCAATCTGTGATTTTTTCTCCTCTCTCCTGTTTGCTGAAATATAACAAATACATATAAAATACATATGCACATTCATTGTTTAAAACATTTAATAAAAATCCTGTATTAATTTAACAACTGAAGTGTACAAGCAGATAATACATGCAAAAAACAATGATAACAAAATATAATCTTTGAAGCTCACCGGTAAAATTTCCCCAGTCAGAAGTTTGAGGAATGTACTTTTACCAACACCATTAGGTCCAACAATGGCAACTAAAGAAATTGGATAAAATGAATTTTTTAATAATGGTACGGATATGACAGTACAAAAATTAAAAAAAATGACATTTTCTAAAAAATAATTAGGCCACAATGTTAAGATTGTTCAGAAATCAGAATTGATGATATTATAAATGGTAAACATAGCTCCCGTAGCAAAATTGGGCTGTAAAAGACTTATTTATTTTTCCAATCCAGTAAAGAACATTTATGTGCATTTAAATTAGATTAAGTTGCTGCACATAAGAAGAGAAAATACTTCATATTGAAAAACATATTTTCTCACCAAATCTCATATTTTTTAACTATACTATTATAAGCAGCCTCACCTCTAGAATTCATGTCGATACCAAAATCTAAGTCTTTGAAGAGAACATTCTGCCCAGTATAACCAAAAGTGGCAGCTGAGGATTCAAATGCAACAAATTAAGAATGGCTGTCAAGGATTCATACTTATATAGTGAACAAAACAAATGAAGTTGTAATCCTTAAAAATTTTCTGTCTGTGCCAAAACATAAAAAGAAAAAAAAGGTGACAAGGAAAGAAATAGTTTGAAATCAAATTAGATTAATGTACAGACATGACATCTGCCATGAAAATTTTAAGCATAAAATTTTTAATGATTTAGATGAAAAGAGGTCATTTCCAGAAATAGATAGATGACTGTTCTTTAGAATGAAATCTAAAGTGGCTTTTCTTCACAGGCGTTTATTCTGATAAATTTTTAATAATGTAACAAGTTTTATTAAGTAGAGATTGCATAAGCAGGGTCTGGGAATGTAAATATTTCATTAATACTCAAACATTTCTAAAATTAGCAAAACCAATATAACAAAAATATATGAATTTTACATTGCAAAAATACACGAAGAAGAAGTACTCACTGTGGACACCCAAAATGGGTGGATTGAGTGGGGCGGGGGGTGGAAAGGTGAACTTGACTACATATTCCTTGGGCCTAGCCAGAAGTTCAGTTTTTGTTTCCTCATCGTCAAATTGACTTTGTTTTTTCCTGCCTTTTTCCTGCTTGCGAGTCAGAGCCTCTTTTTGCTTGGTTTCCTGTCATATTTCCAAAGAGTGAAGAACAAACTATATATTTGGTTGTGCCATGTCTTTCCCATTATACTGGAATAGACTCTACAATTTATTTGAAACGTTAACATCCGGCAAATCTTTGACATAAGAGTGCAGATGACCTATATAAAATATTGATATAAAGAACATTATGATTGTTAACTAGAAGTTTTTGAAAATCAATAATACAATTAATTTACTCAGCTATCAAATGAAGAAACAAATAATTTGGGACTAGATCTTTCTAAATCCAGTATAAAATGTCTAATATATATGTTGACATTTGAAAATGTACATGATAAGGATTTTCCTAAACAAATGAATGTGTTACAAGTTACACAACAGTAAGAGTTACACATTTTCAATTTTGCAACATCAACTCAAACAAAAAACAGATAGATATTTTATCTCCTAATTATTTTTAGAAGATCCTAATCCTCCTCCGCATCCTCATGTCCCTTAGTCCTTGGACCGTTGGGGCGCCACAGATGACATGTGAACCATCCTCCTCCATTCCTCTCTGTCTTCAGCACTTCGCACTGCATCGCCCAGTGTTAGTCCTGTCCACTCTTTGTGTTATCCTCCCATCTTTTTCTTTGTCTTCCTCTTCTTCTCCCTCCTCTTGTGGTGCCCTGCAATATTTCTTTGGCAAGCCCTTGTTTCCTTGTTACGTGGCCGTACCTTTGTAGTTTGCGTTTTTTCACAGTCACCAGTAGGTCATCATACTCCCCAATTGCCTGATGAGCCCTTTCTTTCACTGTATCATTGGAGATGTGGTTCCTATACCAGATGCCAAAAATGCTTCTGAAGCATCCCATCTCCATCGCCTTTATTTTCCTTTCAAGATCGGCTGTTAATGTCCAGGATTCGCAGGCATAAAGGAAAATGGAGAGGAATAATGAGCGTATCAGCCTGATTTTGGTGCTGGGGGCTATATTTTTGTCATTCCATATTTTCTTGAGCTTCTTTAGTGCTGTTGTAGTCTGGGCAATCCAATACATCAGTTCGGGCTTGGAGCCTTCTTCTGAGACTATTGCTCCTAGGTATTTGAAGCGGCCGATAGTCTCTAATCTTTCCTCCCCGACCTTAATTTCAGTGGTGATGCCTGCGGTATTATTTGTCATCAGTTTTGTCTTTTCGGCACTGATTAGCATGCAGTAGGATGACGAGGTCTTATCGAGACGCTTTACCAGGTTGGCTAGCTCTTCTTCGTTCCCAGCCAGTCCATCTATGTTGTCCGCAAAGCGTAGGTTGGTGATTGTTCTGCCGCCAATGCTGACTGTCCCTTCATGCACTTCCAGAGCATCTGACATAATTCTCTCTAGGAAGATGTTGAATAGGGTGGGGGAGAGCAGGCAGCCTTGTCGTACTCCAACCCTGGTCTTGAACCATGCTCCGATGTTTTTGTTGAGGAAGACTGGTGGCCTTATCATAGAGGTTGCATATCATGCTGGTTAGGTTTGTGTTGATGTTGTAGTGCCTCATGGTGGCCCATAAAGCAGCATGCCAAACCCTGTCAATAATGCTGTGGTTGGCCAAAATTTAAAATTAACGTATTTCAACAAAATCCAACAGTATTTACTCACAGCTTGTTTGGTAGACTTGCCGGAAGCTTTCATATCTTTTAATTTCTTTTCTTGTTTCTCATAATCCCTTAACTGTTCTTTTCTTTTCTGTACATACATCTTCTTAAAAGTAGCTATGAAATGAAATTTTTTTAAAATTTTTAATTAACTCAGTGCTGGAAATTTTGTTACCTTATCAACAGCCCTTAAATAATTGAATCAAATTTTAACAGTGGTTTGAGACATGGAAGTAAATTTAACATCTTATAGACATGTATGAAATTAGGCACACAACTTAGAGTAAAAACCTCAAATCATATTATAGGTTGTGTGAACAGAAGGACTTGGATAAGCTTACCATAATTCCCCCTGTAGTAGAAGAGCTTCTGTTGATCCAAGTGAATGATATCTGTACAGACATTATCCAAGAAGCTCTGGTCGTGAGAAACAACTAACAGGGTCTTCTTCCATTGCTGCAGGTAGCTGATGCAGAGAATAAGAGACAATTCACAGATGAGAGAACAAATATTTTTTTAATTCGATAAATCATTCACATCAAAAACATTTTGATTAATAAAATAAATTTAAGATCATATAATATTTATTTTTTGAGGTTTTGAAACTTCAAGGTGTTGTAATGCCTGCCCAAAATCACCATTTGGAAGAAAACGTACTTGTCAAGCCAAATGACAGCATTAAGATCTAAATGGTTGGTGGGTTCATCAAGCATCAGCAAAGTGGGTTCCATGAACAGAGCTCTGTGTCAAAAGGAAATGAAAATTCATAGAAAACTAATAATTCCCATAGTCTGTTAGATTTGAAGCGCCAAAAGCTAAGATAGGCTAATTTAAAAATTTAAGGGATAGTTTCTCATGGGAAGAATACATGAATTTACAAATATATATTTACATCTCTTTAAATTAAAAAGAGACTTCTGAAGAACAGGATATTGGAATTGATTTTAAAATTACCATTTATAATGTATAGAAATTACCAACCACCCTCACTCATTAAATAATTTATATTTTTAAAGTATCAGTAACATTTGCAATGAAATTTAAATGACAGACAATTCTAATCAAAATAAAAATGAGATATAAAAATAAAATGTACCTTGCCAAAGAGACTCTCATCCTCCATCCACCAGACAAGTCTTTGGTGGCCCTGTTCATCATTTCTTTGGTAAAACCCAGACCAGCTAGAATACGTCTAGCTTTGGGCTCAGCAGCATCAGCATTGATTGCTCGCAATTCTTCATATACCTGTAAAGACCACAGAGAAATCATAATCATATAAAACTTTGTTTATTTATAAAATAAATGAAATTTTATAGTCAATGGTTTCAATCTTCTTACAAACCCAATATTGCTTTCTAGGCTAACAAGATGGCCCATGTACTTGAAGTGAAAACAGATGCATACCTCCAACATTTTTGTGAACAATAAAAGGCCCTCTGTTAGTTGAGTTAAAAAGTTTAAATCAGGCTATTTCGATTCATGTAATAATTTCCCTTTTAAATAAAATATGGAGACATCTAAACATCGAAAAGAATATTAAAATTTTAACTTTATACTTAAAAAAATAAATTTTAATGTTGATTAATAATTCTAGTTAGTAAATGAAACCCACATCTTTTAACCGATCTGTGATTTCTCGACCACCCTCTGTGATCCTAGATATTAAATCTTTTTCCTCTTGGAGGAGTGCGGTTCTCTTCTTGTCAGCCTTTAAGACTGCATCGATAGCTTTTGTTTCATTAGCAGTCACTTCCTGTTCACAATATAGCACATCAATGTTGGCTGGTACATTGAGAGATCGGCTGGCAATGTGCTTTAATAAAGTGGTTTTTCCATGCCTGGGAAATGTTGTAAAAGAAAGTTAAGGAATTACTTTAATATTGTCCATAAAAATCATGCAAGCATTCAACTTTAGGCTTTTCATTTCACTTTCTTGTGTTGAAAGAATGTTATACTAAGCTAAATAATTATTCAAAAGGATTTGAAATGTGTATTAAATCTCATGGAACTGGTACTACTACCGGTATCAAATAGAACAAGGAAATTTATTTAGCTATAAAGATTAAACAGATTGAGGATATCCCTATCAAAAGAAAAGTTATATTTATACAATTATATGTTTAGTGTTTTAGATTTAACTCATGTTTTCAAACAAGATTTGACATAGCTTTAATTTTTCCTCCTCACTCTTTTTCTCATAAATTAAATCATTTGTAGGTTTGAATGAACAAAAATTTTGTAAAAACCTTACCCATTAGGACCTACAAGACCATATCTTCGACCATGAGTTATATGTAAATCAGCATTTACAAAGAGATCTTTTCCACGGGCAGAGATGCTGAATTTTTCGACCTAGATTTTAGAGGGTAATAAGATTTTTTATGCGTAATTTCTAACAAAAGAGTAGATTGGTGTTAAATTTTTATTCTTTTTCAAAGCAAGAGAATAAAATGTAAAGGTTATATATAATAACAGTTTACCTTAATGTCTAACTGGTTATCTAGAAGAGCGTCTTTCTTAGATTTTTCAGCTTGTGATACTGAAAACTGACCATCTTCTTCCATTTCTTCAAGGGCCTTCGTAAATTCCATCTGGGGAAATAATAAGCATGTTTTAATTGATTTGGGTAAAAGAAAAAATCATAATTTTTTATTTGTTTATTTATTTCCATTAAATAATTAAGCTCAGTCTACTAAAAAGTATTAAAATTAAATCTAAAATTAAAATTATATCTAACTACAAACCTTCTTCTTCAACTTTTTCAGTTCCTTTTTGCTAAGCTTTGGTTTTTCTTTTTCTTCAGCTGAATGGAAGGCAATGTGCAATCAAAATAGTTAGACTGATTAAATGAGGGAAATTTCAGAGTAACATGAAAGAAAGAAATATCTCACTACCAAAATAGGCCAGTTATTTCCTGTATTCAACGTTAAATAATATTTATATATTTAGATTAAAATGTATTAACATAAATGGTTAAGTATTAACACATTATAACATTATGGTCAAGTAAATGAAAATGTAATTTTGAGAAATAGAAATACATATTTTAGAACAAGCCTGTAATAACATTGATGGCTGTAATAACATTGATGGCAGCAATGATAAATGCATATTTTTTTATACTGTCAAAATCAAACAACCCTGTGATGGCATTTCATTTTGTAAATATCTTCTGTTCAGAGAATACAGAACTGTGGCTAACCTTCAGCTGCATTGCTTGCAGCAGCTTCCTGCTCTGCAAGGGCATCTCTGTTCTCTTCTTCCTCCTCCTCAATTCCATTTTCATCAGCATAATCACTGTCATTTCCAGCAATTGCTTCTTTAACTTCAATCTTTTCTTTTTTTGTTTTCTCCTCTTCCTTCTTTTCTTTCTCACCGGCAATCATCTCCTCCTTTAACTTGTCCATTTTGCTTTTCTTCTTTTTATCCTACATGGAACATACATTAACATTAATCTTAAATTATTATTTCAAATCAAATTTTGTGATCAACATGGTAACATTTAGCATCACCCTTACAAAATTCTTAAGTTCTGAGATCAAATTTTTGTGAACATGCCATGCAGAAGCAGTCAGTTATTTGAAGAGAAAATAAAGTTTTAGTTCTTAATCATGAAAAAAAATAAAAAATTTGTCTAATGAATAATTTGAAATGAAACCTTCATTTGATGTTTCTTTTCACATATTGTAATTGTATAGAATTACAAAAATCCAGATTGCAGGAAGACAAAAGTTAAATAAAGAGTACAAAAGAGTCAAACCTTTTTTTTAGATTTCTTTCCAACTTCTAAATCTTTATCATCATTAGTTGAGAGGCTGTCGAATTTGTTGACAAGTTCATCATCATCATCATCGTCATCTCCTTTCCCATTCTCTCGCTCTATTTTATTCTTTTTGGGCTTTGCTACTGGGACTTTATCATTATTTATTGAAGACTTACTACCAATGACAGATTCATCATCTTCATCATCCCCTGCACTTTCTTTACCTCCTTTACCCTTTTTAGACTTCAATTTCTTTCCACCTTCAGAATCTTTCTTGTCCTGTGTTCCTAAATCTTCACCGTCTTCTCCTTTTTTCTTTTCTTTTTTATTCTTCTTTGGCTTAGATTTCTTTTCAGCATCTACATCCATATCATCACTTGTTGCAAGTTTGCCCTTACTGCCAACAACCTCGTCATCTTCTTCCCCTTTCCACTTTTCTCTATCAGCTTTATTCTTTTTAGGCATTTTTATTTAGTCTAGAGAAGCAAAAAAAAAGAAAGATTTTAATGAGAAATTTTCTACATAATTTACAAACAATGTGTTTGTCATAGTATGACATAAATTTTGATTTAAAATCTTTAATTTAAAATCTTGTAATCATGAATTTTGATTGTGCACAGTTAAAAATTGAAAAATACCCTAAAATACCATCTCTATTATTTATTTACATAACCATAGATAGAGCTCTTCAACACAAAAGATCAACATAAAGCTAAATATCATTGTCATTACAGAAACTTGAGAAACACACTTTCAAAATTCTTGCTTGGAATTATATACAAATCTCGGTTTAATCCAAATTTACTACTTTCTGTTATAATTCTCTTTAATTTATTATGATTAATAATTATATAGAAGTAGTGATGTAGACTACTATTAGTATAGTATACAGGATTCCCACCCTTTTTTAAAAACAAAATTCCCTAATTTTTCCCAAATGAAAACAAAAACATTCCTATCGCAATGTGGCGTTTTTGTTGATAATGTAAAAACAACAATGAAATTGTCAAAATAAAGCAACATTGAAATAAAACACTAATGAACAAGCAATTAAGGTGTATACATGTATATGTTTATTAAATTTCTTAGCAATTGGAATTTTTCAATTTACTTAAACTTGGAAAATTGTTGATGTTTACTTTATAAGTGCAAGGGCAACTTTTGCAATGTGTTCTCAGGGGCATTCTAGAACATACGTATAGCTACCACAAATGGAAAGTATCTTTTCTTATATGGAGTTAATATTCTCTTCTTTGAGAAGAAAATGTTAGTTTGAGTCAACACACTTTAAGTGTCTATAAAATAAAATCTCTTCAATCAGGGTTTCATATTTTGACACATAAATTGGGAGCTTGACTGAGAAGTTGCAGAAATGGACACCTAAGGTAGGTGATAAAGCTGAAGTCTCATCAGATGATCAACGTTTTTAATATTTTCTCCCTGAATACTTGATATCAATATTTCCAGCATAGTGAAGCAGTGATGACTTGTTTCATCATTATCATGATAGCTGTCTTTAAAGGAACTGTTGGGCATTATTTTATTAAGCCTAGATCCTGAATAGTGAAACAAAATAAAATATATTATCATATTATGTTTATAGTTTAAAGTAAGGCATACACCATATCATATAGACTATATTATACCCATACAAAACTACAGTTATACAGAGTCAGATGAGATACTAAGTTATGCATATGAAACGGCAGTCAGGATTTACCGCAGGGGAATGGATCATAGACAACCCACCCCCACCTTTTTTGTTTGGGTCTCCAAAGGTCCCCCCCACAAAAAATAAACAACAAACAAACAACCCTTGCCTACGCCACTGTGCTTATGAATTATTCTAGTATAATACCGGAAAGTATACCCAGAGCACAGGAGTGCAGAAGTATAAATAAAGACTAACTATAGGCAGTTATGTTATTGTTAGGCTCACTGAATGTATCGAGTCCAATCAACTAGTGACTAGTTTTATTAACTTTTAAATGAATTTCCAAAGTCAGACGTAAACTAGTTAACTAATCTGCGCAAAAAAAAAAAAACAACAACACAAAATAACTTAAACATATTAGCCTATTTAAATTTAGAAGGCATACTCCATTATTAATTAAAAAATACATGTCGCTTACATACAGTAAAACTTAATAATAACTTATTAAGACTAAGACATAACAAGTCATTTTAGACAGCGCTTGGATGAGTAGTTTTATATTTATAATTGTAACCTCACAATTGAAAACGAGATTCAAATAATTGTTAACTGTATTTTACACTTTACTTACCCAAACATCTCTTGATCGGTGATGAAAACAGAAAATAAATATTTCTGGTCTATCAAAATCAAAGTTGTAAGGCATTAGAAACTTGTAGAGCTCAAAACGCATGTGTAGTAAAGGGGAAACCAGAAGCATTTTGGCAAAGTCTTTTTGATAACAGAAAGGCTAAAAAGAGATGAGATTGGTGATTAATCTCAATTTTCATGGAATCCAAAGCCAAATTTATTACTATTTCTTTACAAATTAAAAAATCCAGAATTTCCGGAAAATTTCCTTACTTAGAAGGCCCATTTTCCCGGTTTTTATAACCGGGAAAATTATTCAATGAATTCCTGACTATTTCCTGTTAACCCGATCTGCGGGGGGACCCTAAGACTGAGTATAGTATTAGTATTAGTATAATATAGTACAGAAACCAAACTCATATTGGATGATTTGTGAAATTTAAAGGCAAAGGCCTCAAAGGGAAGGCATTTAAAATTTAGCCCTTAAATTAAATGGAGATTATTAGGTGGGCCTAGAGACAGGCAGTATTTGAATTTTTAAATAGCTATGAAGTATCATATATATGATAAATGACCCAAAGTTAAAGCGTTTTGGCTTTAGGAAAAGTGTTAGTGTTAAACCAAATAGTAATAGTCAAATTAAAAATCTATGGTCAAAATGATTTATATAGGTATATAATATAGGCGCCCTAGGTAGTGACTACCCTAATAATATTTATTATTAGGCTAATCATAAAATGCCCAGCTTCAATTTATTGACTTTAATTTTAATGTTAACTAAAAAAATGGTCAAGGCCAAGTCAAAAATTTGATACCTTTTTTTCATAAAAACTCATTTGATTATTAAATTAACAACGCTAAAATACGTCTATAATGATTTTAAAAAATAAGGTTTAACGTTTTACTGAGCCCACTCTCCTCTGTCTGAGCACTGTGGGCAGTGTGGGGGCGAGATGATTGATTCCTGCCTACTTTATAAAAACCAGTTGATTTTAAATATTATACTTTAACTAACATATAATTTTATACATAATTTTAAATTAATATTTTATACAGTTATATACCTAAAATGTCTTTGTAGACAGCTTAAATAAGGTAAGTATTGCACAAAATGCCTAACAGATGAGGCAACAATGTGTTATAAACGAAACCGGAAAACGTACTACGTCATTAAATTGTGAGACAGTAAAAAATATCAACTCAAGTTAAAGAGTTACAGCGTGTCACTGAAATAGGATATGAAACGTTGGTTAAAAATGCGGAAATGTTTTATGTATAAGTTTGGAATCGCTCTACTCTCGTGTCAATAAAATACATTGAAGTTAAATAAAAATGAAAACAGTGGCGTCAGTAGAGGGATGCGGGGGTAGCGGGCACCATTGGGGAGTGGGGTATAATTAAATCAGGGGTGCAGATATTATCCAATTCGGCCTTCAATCATTTGGATTATATAGGCTTGGATTTGAAATGCCCATTGAAGGGGCCTAATTATAAATTATGGTTATGCATAAGTCAGAGGCGTAGCGAAGGGTGGAGGGGGGACGGACGTCCCCGGGCGCCTGCTAGTTAGGGGCGCCAAAATGTGCTTTGATATTATTTTATTGATAAAAATAACGGGTTTGAGAGATGAAAAAAGAAAAGGGGGCGCTTTAAATGAACCTTGTCCTTGGGCGCAAATCTTTTCCCCGGGCGCCAAACACTCTCGCTACGCCTCTGGCATAAGTTATTGCACTGTTTTATCAATTATAGAGTTAATGCGTTTGTTTTTTACCTATTGGAGAGCGTACGTCCCACCACTGGTGGCCAATTTGAAGATTGTTGGCGACATATTATTATTAACTCTAGAGATTGGGATCTATAATTTATGTTTCCAGCAGATCGGGACCTGGAAATCGTTATTTTGAGCACCTTGATTAAGGGTCCATGAAAGTATTTAGGTGTTTAGGTGGGGCAGGGGTCAAGAAAAGTATAGAAACTCGATTAGGGTGAGTAGAGCTACGAGTAGGCCTAAACTATCATAAGAAATAGAAGCCAGCGTCCTACAGTAGGCCTAAACTATCATAAGAAATAGAAGCCAGCGTCCTACAGTAGGCCTAAACTATCATAAGAAATAGAAGCCAGCGTCCTACAGTAGGCCTAAACTATCATAAGAAATAGAAGCCAGCGTCCTACAGTAGGCCTAAACTATCATAAGAAATAGAAGCCAGCGTCCTACAGTAGGCCTAAACTATCATAAGAAATAGAAGCCAGCGTCCTACAGTAGGCCTAAACTATCATAAGAAATAGAAGCCAGCGTCCTACAGTAGGCCTAAACTATCATAAGAAATAGAAGCCAGCGTCCTACAGTAGGCCTAAACTATCATAAGAAATAGAAGCCAGCGTCCTACAGTAGGCCTAAACTATCATAAGAAATAGAAGCCAGCGTCCTACAGTAGGCCTAAACTATCATAAGAAATAGAAGCCAGCGTCCTACAGTAGGCCTAAACTATCATAAGAAATAGAAGCCAGCGTCCTACAGTAGGCCTAAACTATCATAAGAAATAGAAGCCAGCGTCCTACAGTAGGCCTAAACTATCATAAGAAATAGAAGCCAGCGTCCTACAGTAGGCCTAAACTATCATAAGAAATAGAAGCCAGCGTCCTACAGTAGGCCTAAACTATCATAAGAAATAGAAGCCAGCGTCCTACAGTAGGCCTAAACTATCATAAGAAATAGAAGCCAGCGTCCTACAGTAGGCCTAAACTATCATAAGAAATAGAAGCCAGCGTCCTACAGTAGGCCTAAACTATCATAAGAAATAGAAGCCAGCGTCCTACAGTAGGCCTAAACTATCATANGGGGGGGGCGCAATTTGATTGTTTAGGGGAGCAATTCGAAAATAAGCTGTCTAGAATTTGAAAACCAAACGTCAAGTACGATTCAACTTGTAATTTTAAAGGAGAATCGTTCAAGTCTCAATTTCAAATAAGCGTTCTTTAAAAGTGTTGTAAAAATCTGTTGATTTTAAAAGTAGTCAATAGACTCAGTAGTCAGTAAAATTGGCTGGCTAAAATTGGTGAAAGATGAGAATCCAGAAATGCTTCTTGTTCATTGTGTTATTCAGAGGGAAAAGTTAGTGGCTAACAAAATTTTGCCTGTTCTAATTGTGGCAGTGTAGGCCTCGGTTTTTTACGAAACAGTTTGTAGCGCCCAAAACTTTATTGGGATTTGACCTCGCCTAACAATGGAGTAATGAGTGACCCGTGAGGGCAGACTTTGAAGGGATTGTCCCCGGTATAGCAGTAGATGGGGTATAGGGGGCTCTGGGTAGAGCACTGGTTCTCAACCTTTCTAATGCCATGACCCTTCCTTACCAGATTCCCCATTCTGATCCCCAGAGTAAGAGACCTAAAAAAAAAAATGCTTTGATTGATGATGTACCTAGTCTCTTACCCGGGGGGGGGGGGGGGCAAAAAAACCGATTAACTTTCC